CGCTGATGTGCCAGCGATGTGGGGACGGCGCTGATGTGCCAGCGATGTGGGGACGGCGCTGATGTGCCAGCGGTGCGGGGACGGCGATGATGTGCCAGCGATGTGGGGACGGCGCCCGGCCAGTCACCATGGTTACAGATGTAATCGGTGGTCGCCGACGACTGGTTGACGAGTGCCGCCGACGGACGTGGCCGGCCTTCACTGCCTACTGATCACCGACACTGTACTGAGCTGACGGGTCCTGGCCCTTGCCGTCTGGGGCCATTCGTCCATTGCTGTCAATGATATGATGCAGCAACATTGATACTTAAGCAGTGGGATGCGTAGAAGAGAAAATCCACCTTTTTACATATTCTGTAATTTAGGCTGGTTTTGTTTTCGATGGGCCGATGGTGATTCTACGGCCAGAGAGCAAAGCTGACCCATCGGCCGACTTATATGGAATAATTACGACCGCTATTCACGCTCACTACGTTCGTGTGCGCATCAACTATTGTCCAATATCGGTTATCCAGAGAGCTATGAGACTTTTCTCTCATAGCTCATCCATGTGGCCATGACAACGTCGCGAGATGGAAGCGTGCCAGTTTCGTGAAAGCGTAAGCCCAAGAGTATTGTAATCCGATTACTGAGGCGCCGCGATGTTATCGGCCGCCGACTGTTGACGATAAGTGGCTGAATTTTTTGGCATTTTATGGATGATTGCGCGCGCGGACGCCGCCGGGCAAAAGCTCAATTTGAGAGTTCTTGCGCGCGGCACCGACGTCGGTGCATTATGATTATCTGGGCGGTGCGCGTTACAAAAGGCGCCGGCCCTATCGCCGGCCGGCATCGGTTGTGCGTCCGGGCGGTCCGTGTCATCTGCATACCGCACGGGCCGGCGGCCGCCTCCCGGCCTGCTGGCCGCCACGCATCGGCCGGAATGCGGGTTGGCGCGGCCAGCGCGTGGCCAGTCGGCCGCCGACCACGTGCCGCCCGTCGGGTCGGGTCGGGCCAGGTCAGGTCAGGTCAGGTCAGGTCAGGTCAGGTCGGGTCGGTCTGGTCGGACCAGGCCAGGTCAGGTCAGGTCAGGCCAAGCCAGGCCAGGTCGGGTCGGTTTGGGTCGGACCAGGCCGGGTCAGGTCGGGTCGGTTTGGGGTCGGACCTGGCCAGGCCAGGTCGGGTCGGTTTGGGTCGGACCAGGCCAGGTCAGGTCAGGTCAGGCCAAGCCAGGCCAGGTCGGGTCAGTTTGGGGTCGGACCAGGCCAGGTCAGACCGACTCGAGGCGGTTTGGGTCGGACCAGGCCAGGTCAGACCGGCTCGGGGCGGGTCGGGTCAATCTGCGACACCGCCCGCCCGCAGGCAGGCGGCACATGGGATGGCGTGATGAGGATTGGCGGCTGTGGAGGCATCAGCCCTTGTCGTCGTCGACGGAGACATGGGCCGACAATGTAGTCACGCAGCTCAAGTCATAGTGAGCGAACTGGGTCGGTGCTCTGAGACTCAGTAACGTGCAAATGCTGCACAGCTATGTGAACCATGTTCTTGGTCAGTAAGAAGGCAGAAGTAAGACGATTAGTAGAGGGTGGTAAGAGGATTAAAATGGGACATCGTCTATTTGTCACGTCGAATACATCCGTCCCTACCGTTACTATTCGTCCTCATGGGTTGAACAGCGTGGAGCTAGCCAAATATTTGTGGAACGCTGCGAGTGCGTATGCTCATTCCGTACCCACACTTGGCTGCGGTTTCTCAACTGCGCAGATTGCTGAGATCTGACGAAGACCAGCGGATCCAAGGTTTGCGCTCGAGCGCTTGTGACCTGTTCACACATCTATGCCGCCCATCTGTGACGGCATGATTGCTTTTTTTCTCTCTCCGAATATCCTGTCTTTGTTCTCTCTCTCCGACAATCCTGTCTCGGGTCACTTGCAGTTCGCATTCTGGAAATGTTTGGCAACTTTCAAATGCTACTTGGAATGTCAGGCAGTTGCGTGCACTAAAAAGTGTTGGTTTATTTCTCATAAAACAGGCAAAATGTTTAATTCCCAGGAGCGGCTTTAGGCCCGCAGCTATAACCAAACAGCTCACAATTGTCACTTAAGCTCTGTCTGGCCGCAATGCCACGGACGAAGACACCATCATGACAGCTCCATTACAGCCTTCTCGGCTGTCAGGATATCCATGTCATTGCCCGTAGTTTAGCAGAATTATTGCGGCGTAAAAAAGAAAAATACTGACAACATAAAGCAGTCGCGGGGTATGCTGAAACTGTACCGATGCAGGTGTTAACTAAAAATATTGCTCCTGACACAAAAACAAACAAAATGATTGGTAACCGTGATGTTGCAGGAAAACAGTATCATTTCAAGTAGTTTGCACGTGACATGGAAATAGTTTGGCGCGTCTTTAAAAGAGCTATTCTTCTTTTTGCAGACATGCGCATGGAGTTGCAACCAGTGGTTTCAAAGCTTCTGGCTTGAAAATGGACCGACGGTCGAGCTGGCAGGTCGACTGTTCAACTTGAAAAGCATGTTCCAATGAGACTGCTAAGAATGCCTGTTGCTAACCAATCTCGTTGAGTGGCATTAATTCCTTTGGAACATCTCGTTGCCGAATTTTCAGTCAAACCCTGACTGGGTAGTGGTAATGTTAGCAATGGTACATAAAGATCACTGCGAACAGATATTTCCCATGTTTTCGATCAAATATTCTTATTCCACGTCTTTCGACCCCGTAGCGTACCGAATGTTGATCTAGATGGTATGTCGACGGGGCGAATAACTTCCGGGAGACTCCGGCTCGATCTGCTTACTACCCCGTTCCGGTCAGAGCTCCTTTAGGCATTCTTTATAGGCTCCATGTTTTGCACTGCTCAGCTCACGGACTCATACCCTCAGCCAAACACGTACGCACGCACGGACGCACGCACGCACGGCCGCAAGCACTGGGTATCGCGGTGTCCGGTGAGGTAGTGGGTGACGTGCTGCAGTGTCCGGTGCCAGGTGACGTGCTGCAGTGTCCGGTTTTCAGGTGACGTGCTGCAGTGTCCGGTCCCATGGTGACGTGCTGCAGTGTCCGGTCCATGTGACTGCTGCAGTGTCCGGTGCCAGGTGACGTGCTGTGCAGTGTCCGGTCTCAGGTGACGTGCTGCAGTGTCCGGTCCTCAGGTGACGTGCCTGCAGTGTCCGGTCCATGTGACGTGCTGCAGTGTCCGGTGCCAGGTGACGTGCTGCAGTGTCCGGTGCCAGGTGACGTTGCAGTGTCCGGTGGCCAGGTGACGTGCTGCAGTGTCCGGTCCATGTGGACTGCTGCAGTGTCCGGTCTCAGGTGACGTGCTGCAGTGTCCGGTCTCAGGACGTGCGCAGTGTTCGGTGCTCAGGTGACGTGCTGCAGTGTCCGGTCCCATGTGACCTGCTGCAGTGTCCGGTGCCAGTGACGTGCTGCAGTGTCCGGTCTCAGGTGACGTGCTGCAGTGTCCGGTCCCATGACGTGCTGCAGTGTCCGGTGCCAGGTGACGTGCTGCAGTGTCCGGTCCCAGGTGACGTGCTGCAGTGTCCGGTCTCAGGTGACGTGCTGCAGTGTCCGGTCCCATGTGACGTGCTGCAGTGTCCGGTGCCAGGTGACGTGCTGCAGTGTCCGGTGCCAGGTGACGTGCTGCAGTGTCCGGTCTCAGGTGACGTTGCTGCAGTGTCCGGTCCCATGTGACGTGCTGCATGTCGGTGCCAGTGACGTGCTGCAGTGTCCGGTCCAGGTGACTGCTGCAGTGTCCGGTCTCAGGTGACGTGCTGCAGTGTCCGGTCCATGTGACGTGCTGCAGTGTCCGGTGCCAGGTGACGTGCTGCAGTGTCCGTGTCCAGGGACGTGCTGCAGTGTCCGGTCTCAGGTGACGTGCTGCAGTGTCCGGTCCCATTGACGTGCTGCAGTGTCCGGTCCAGGTGACGTGCTGCAGTGTCCGGTGCCAGTGACGTGGCTGCAGTGTCCGGTCTCAGGTGACGTGCTGTGCAGTGTCCGGTCCATGTGACGTGCTGCAGTGTCCGGTGCCAGGTGACGTGCTGCAGTGTCCGGTGCCAGGTGACGTGCTGCAGTGTCCGTCTCAGGTGACGTGCTGCAGGTCCGGTCCATGTGACGTGCTGCAGTGTCCGGTGCCAGGTGACGTGCTGCAGTGTCCGGTGCCAGGTGACGTGCTGCAGTGTCCGGTCTCAGGTGACGTGCTGCAGTGTCCGGTCAGTGACGTGCTGCAGTGTCCGGTCCAGTGACGTGCTGCAGTGTCCGGTGCCAGGTGACGTGCTGCAGTGTCCGGTCTCAGGTGACGTGCTGCAGTGTCCGGTCCCATGTGACGTGCTGCAGTGTCCGGTGCAGGTGACGTGCTGCAGTGTCCGGTGCCAGGTGACGTGCTGCAGTGTCCGGTCTCAGGTGACGTGCTGCAGTGTCCGGTCCCATGTGACGTGCTGCAGTGTCCGGTGCCAGGTGACGGCTGCAGTGTCCGGTGCCCAGGTGACGTGCTGCAGTGTCCGGTCTCAGGTGACGTGCTGCAGTGTCCGGTCCCAGTGACGTGCTGCAGTGTCCGGTGCCAGGTGACGTGCTGCAGTGTCCGGTCCATGTGACGTGCTGCAGTGTCCGGTCTCAGGTGACGTGCTGCAGTGCCGGTCCATGACGTGCTGCAGTTCCGGTCCCATGTGACGTGCTGCAGTGTCCGGTGCCAGTGACGTGCTGCAGTGTCCGGTCCAGTGACTGCTGCAGTGTCCGGTGCCAGGTGACGTGCTGCAGTGTCCGGTCCCAGGTGACCTGCTGCAGTGTCCGGTGCCAGGTGACGTGCCGCAGTGTCCGGTCTCAGGTGACGTGCTGCAGTGTCCGGTGCCAGGTGACTGCTGCAGTGTCCGTCCAGCTGACGTGCTGCAGTGTCCGGTCCCAGGTGACGTGCTGCAGTGTCCGGTGCCAGGTGACCTGCTGCAGTGTCCGGTCCCAGCTGACGTGCTACAGTGTCCGGTCCTCAGTAACATCTGTTGTGTCCACTTCAGGCCCGAAGAAAGAAGGTGTCCAGAAGCGGCGGCTGGGCCGCAACCCTCGCATCCCCTTCTCCACGCACCAGATCGCCCTCCTCGAGCACAAGTTTCGCCACAAGCAGTACCTGAGCAGCTATGACGTCACAGAGCTGGCCTCGCTCCTCTGCCTCTCACAGACTCGGGTAAGCACCACCTCTGGAGGAGTACACGCTTCTCTTACGAGCCCGGGTAAGCACCACCTCTGGAGGAGGACACACGCATCTTATATGCCTGGGTAAGCACCATCTCTCGAAGAGGACAATCCTCTTACAGGCCCGGGCAAGCACCAGTGCTCAAATTCGCTGCTCTTGCGGACTCGGCAGCCCTAAACCAGGGCTCACTCTTCTCGCAGGACGTGCTGTGTCCCGATTTAGGAGGAAGTCTCACTCTTCCCACAGACGCAGTCAGGTACCAGCTGTGGGGGATTTGCTGCTCCCACAGATCCGAGGAAGCGTTAGCTATTCTAAAAAATCATTCAATCCTAAGTGGGGTGGCTGATAATTTTTGTCAGCAAGTGAATCAATAGCTGCAAAATAATCCATAAATACCTGACTGCCTGTGTTGACTGGATGCGTTTCGCTTCGGTATCTATGTCAACATGCCTTGCTGCCATCCCTATGGCAAAGGGAATGCTGGTAAAAAGCGAGCCGCCTGGAAAGTCCATGACACACTTCCAAGCGCACTTGCCAGTCGTCCCAAACCGACGGCGACGAGTTTGTCAAGCGTGCTTAGCCATCACCAATGAATTCCTGAGTCCCAAATAATATCCCTGGTGCATCATGAGACCTTTTAGCTCGGAAAGGTTTGGAACTACTGGCATACTTATGTTTCTTTTTTATACATCCCGGGTCATATGGTGCTCCGATGATAATGGCCATGGTTCTAGTGCGAAATATTTGAGGGTCGTCATTCCCCGAGGTAAGCTGTTAGTCCTATAGATGACGAGGGCTGATCGATAACAGGCCCATTACCAGGCGGTCCTTCCGCCCTGAACGAGGCCCTGGTCAGGACCGGCGCGCCCATTCAGAGCCGGCCGCGTCAGCTTTGTCCGCGCGTGGCAGCTCATCGGGCTCCTCAGCTGTGGACCAGCCACATTCCGCGCGCTCTATCGGCATCTGGATCACACGCGGAGCGGCCGGGCCGGCCCTCCTTTTGCATGAGCTGTCCGAGCGGCCGCTCGAGCCGCCGCCGGTCGGGCGCGGGCCGCCTCGTCGACGGATCCCCGACCGCCTGCCGCTTGTCTCGGGGGTGCACGTCCCATTGGCCGCCGCCTGTAATTTTATAGGGGGATTATCGTCTTGTTATAGTACATTAGAGCTGTTGATGTTGTAGGTGAACGCGGGCTGGTGTGTCAATGCGGGTTTATTTATGGCGCTAACGGCTGATTAGCCGGCAACAGAGGGATGGGAGCGAGAGCGCAGCCTCGGCCGGGGGGCCGAGCTCGCCCCAGCTGGCCACTCCACAATAACAATGTGGCCCCGGCGTGGCGCGGCGCGCGGCAGAGGCGCCGCCAGGCCAGCCCGCGTGGGGAGACCCGTCAGCAGGCTCTGACACACCCGGCGTGGACCGGTGGCGCAGCGGCGTGCCACACCGGACGCGTGCGGCCGCTCAACCGACAACTGTCATGGGTTTCCCCCGAGCGTGATTTGCTGCATCCGCCACTGGTCGCCAGGTGACCAGAGCTGTCCAGCTTCTGGTTCACCGGCTCCGGCTGCCTCGCTTTGTGGGTCCTTTCAGTCTGTGTTGCGGTCGACTACTCACGCGACGGCGCTGGCCAAAACCTATTAAAGTTACGTCTACCTGCTCGGGTGCTCACGCAGCCCGCATTACTCAGATAAGGATTTTTTGGCGGGAGGACCAAAATGGTCACAGCAAGTCGAAGCGCCCCTTAACCCAAAATCATCGGGTGCCTAAAAAAGAAGACGAACATGACTTACCAAAATGAGCGTTGAACATTACGTTTCGTGGCGCGAATGCTCGTGAGTGGTTACTGTACACATGACAGTTGGTGGTGCTTCTCATTTTAGACCTACGTGATTCATTTAAGTTAAGGGAATGCTCCACATTTGAAGGTGCTGAAGCAAGCATCAGATATAACGAAACAAGCTCACTTATAGCTATAGGTGTAGTTTTAAGTGTAAAGACTGCTCTATACAGTACAATGTCTTTACTCCACTGTTTCTCTATCTCTCTCTTTCTTCCTATGCTCATCAATACGTCATGTGTGATTGCGTCATGAAGCGTGTGCATGACGTTGAGGTGCTGCAAAGCTGGACGTGGGAAACTGCCATCTTAGCACTCACTTGTAGTACTTCGATCTCTTGAGATGTGGCCGTGGAGGTGCTGGAGGTGTTTGCTGAATCAAATATTGTTATGTGCTCGTGTTTCGGCCTTTTCTCGTGGTGTTATTCCATATTTTCCGGGAGGTTAAGGAGTTTCCTTGAATTTACATACTCGGTTACGGCAGGTATTCGTAACTTATTCGATAACAAGTCTTATTTGCAAAGTAGCAAGCACCCGTGTCAACTCTTTATATCATGTAGCACGAAGCGTGATCTGTGATTGAAGCCAGCACTGGCTGCACAACATTGTTTAAGGGCCAATTGGCCGCTGTGGTATCTGGGAACCGTGTTCACGCAACGATATGTGAACAACTCGACGATTATGTTGTTTTTGGCCTTGATTCGCCGCATGGCCAATAGGGTGGAAAAAATTTGTATGACGTTTCTGTGGTGCCATGCGTGACTGGATGACCTTGAAATAGTCTGCACGAAACAGTTTGCACAGCTTCGCGGGCGTGTAGCTTAGGAACTAGAGGGCTTCAGGCCTTACGAAGGGCAGGACTGTGAACTGCACAGAATAATCTTCAAGATGGCTATTTTAGTTCAAAGCCCTTACAGATGCCAAGTACTCCCTTTAGAATTCGCCACGGGTTCAGACGCCACGAGGTGCATCTGTAACACTGCCTACCATGCGGATACCGATCCAGAAGTTTTGATGTGACCCGAACCGTCACTAACACCGCCTGTGCGCCTCCAGGTGAAGATCTGGTTCCAGAACCGTCGCGCGCGGGAGCGCAGGGACCACGAGTCGCGCTGCCGCACCGAGCTGCCCTCCACACTGTCAGCGTTCCGGCCGGTGGTGGCGGCGGCCGCCTCTCCCGCGGAGCTGCCGCCTCCAGACGCGGACCGTCACCAGGGCTCAGCAGCGGCCGCGGAGACGCTGCAGCCCTGAGACGGTCACCAGGGCTCAGCAGCGGCCGCGGAAAGGCTACAGCCCTGCAGCCGGCTCCGATGGGAGCGGTCAGCGGCGCTGAGGCCGGCGTCAGGGATCCTGTCAGCCGAGCCGCCGTCGAGACAGCGGAGGCGCGGTGACAGCCAACCTCGGCTCGGCTGGCCGGCTCTGGGGACGGCCAACCTCGGCTCGGCTGGCGGCCTGAGGACGGCCAACCCCGGCTCGGCTGGCGGCCTCTGAGGACGGCCAACCCCGGCTCGGCTGGCGGCCTCTGAGGACGGCCAACCCCGGCTCGGCTGGCGGCCTCTGAGGACGGCCAACCTCGGCTCGGCTGGCGGCCTCTGAGGACGGCCAACCTCGGCTCGGCTGGCCGGCTCTGAGGACGGCCAACCTCGGCTCGGCTGGCGGCCTCTGAGGACGGCCAACCTCGGCTCGGCTGGCCGGCTCTGAGGACGGCCAACCTCGGCTCGGCTGGCGGCCTCTGAGGACGGCCAACCTCGGCTCGGCTGGCGGCCTCTGAGGACGGCCAACCGCGGCTCGGCTGGCCGGCTCTGAGGACGGCCAACCTCGGCTCGGTTGGTGGCCTCTGAGGACGGCCAGCCTCGGCTCGGCTGGCGGCCTCTGAGGACGGCCAACCTCGGCTCGGCTGGCGGCTCTGAGGACGGCCAACCTCGGCTCGGCTGGCGGCTCTGGGACAGTCAACCTCGGCTCGGCTGGCGGCTTCTGAGGACGGCCAACCTCGGCTCGGCTGGCGGCTCCTGGGGACAGTCAACCTCGGCTCGGCTGGCGGCCTCTGAGGACGGCCAACCTCGGCTCGGCTGGCCGGCTCTGAGGACGGCCAGCCTCGCTCGGTTGGTGGCCTCTGAGGACGGCCAACCTCGGCTCGGCTGGCCGGCTCTGAGGACGGCCAGCCTCGGCTCGGCTGGGGGCCTCTGAGGACGGCCAACCCGGCTCGGCCGGCGGCCTCTGAGGACGGCCAACCTCGGCTCGGCTGGCCGGCTCTGAGGACGGCCAACCTCGGCTCGGCTGGCCGGCTCTGAGGACGGCCAACCTCGGCTCGGCTGGCCCGCTCTGAGGACGGCCAGCCGCGACTCGGCCGGGCCTCTGAGGACGGCCAACCCCGGCTCGGCTGGCGGCCTCTGAGGACGGCCAGCCTCGGCTCGGCTGGCGGCCTCTGAGGACGGCCAACCTCGACTCGGCTGGCGGCCTCTGAGGACGGCCAGCCTCGACTCGGCCGACGGCCTCTGAGGACGGCCAACCCCGGCTCCGCTGGCAGCCTCTGAGGACGGCCAACCCCGGCTCCGCTGGCGGCCTCTGAGGACGGCCAGCCTCGGCTCGGCTGGCGGCCTCTGAGGACGGCCAACCCGGCTCGCTGGCGGCCTCTGAGGACGGCCAGCCTCGGCTCGGCTGGCGGCCTCTGAGACGGCCAGCCTCGGCTCGGCTGGCGCCCTCTGAGCTGGTCGCTGAGAGGCTCCGTGGCCGCTGCCAGTCACACTCGTTGTTGACCGCTGTTTTAATGTGCGGAGAGTGAGAGCCATGTGCTGCTTATCAGTGCGCCAGTCTGCACGCATACAGAAGGGCGTCACAGATACGTGTTACCTCAGGCTTATCTGTCCTCGGTCGACGGGCGTTTTGCGTCGCGACAACTATCACAGAGACTCCCATCACGGTGTGATGAATACTCAGCAGCGCGGGGCATCACGCTCCAGGTCGGCAGGTCTGTCGCGACGCGTGGGCG